ATTAGGCTAGTGCAGATTAAAATTAGGCTAGTGCAGATCAAAATTAGGCTAGTGCAGATTGCCCTTGAATATATTTGTAGCAATTAGGCTAGTGCAGATTGCCCTTGAGTAGATTTGTAGAAATTAGGCTAGTGCAGATTAAAATTAGGCTAGTGCAGATCAAAATTAGGCTAGTGCAGATTGCCCTTGAATATATTTGTAGCAATTAGGCTAGTGCAGATTGCCCTTGAGTAGATTTGTAGAAATTAGGCTAGTGCAGATTAAAATTAGGCTAGTGCAGATCAAAATTAGGCTAGTGCAGATTGCCCTTGAATATATTTGTAGCAATTAGGCTAGTGCAGATTGCCCTTGAGTAGATTTGTAGCAATTAGGCTAGTGCAGATTTCCCTTGAGTAGATTTGTAGAAATTAGGCTAGTGCAGATTAAAATTAGGCTAGTGCAGATCAAAATTAGGCTAGTGCAGATTGCCCTTGAGTAGATTCTACAAACACAAAAACAATCCATAGACTTTTAACTTTCTGTATAACAGTTCAGTGCATTATTAATCTTTTATTGACACTGACACTGATTTTTACAATCTAACCAAAAATGCAGATGAACTAATGTTCAACTTCTGTATTTAAAATCTTCCTATTTAAAAGGTATACTAGAATAATATTTGGATGATAACATACCTTATTTTTGATACTATAGCTGTATGTATACAGCTGAGATTAAATCACAGCCAATAAGAATGGTTGACTAACAATACAAAAGTACATGATCTCGGTCAGTGATTGTTATACAAGATAGGCCTTTCAAAAACATCCGAACACTCTTCATTTTTACTACAAGCTAATCCAGTGAAACGGATACTTACACAATTTACTCGTGTAACCTATGTAATACAGGCACAATGAAATTGTAGAAATGAAAGCAACAAGAAGCCTTGCTTAATTCAGTATAAATTTTTTGCCACTTTAGGCTATCGAGATCCATGTGAATCCTAACTACGATCCTGGAAATCTCAACTTTGACATAGCCCTGATTCAACTGAAGACTTCTGTTGCTCTGACCACACGAGTGCAACCAATATGTCTGCCTACTGATCTCACTACAAGAGAAAACCTGAAAGAGGGAGCGTTAGCGGTGGTAAGTATTTAATTATTTATAAAACCAGGTAAAACTTGTAAATAGTTTGTATTTATGCCAACGAAGTATTTATTGGTAATAGTGTAACTTTTAGATAACGTTGTTAGCAATAAAGTACCAGTAGATACCTTTATGTATCAATAACCGAATATATTCCAGGTGACAGGATGGGGTTTGAATGAAAACAACACATATTCAGAGATGATTCAGCAAGCCGTTCTGCCTGTTGTTGCAGCAAGCACCTGTGAACAAGGATACCAGGACTCGGGCTTGCCACTGACAGTGACAGAGAACATGTTCTGTGCAGGTTACAAGCAGGGGCGCTATGATGCCTGCAGTGGAGACAGTGGAGGACCATTAGTGTTTGCTGATGATTCCCGCACCGATAGGCGGTGGGTCCTGGAAGGGATCGTCAGCTGGGGCAGCCCCAATGGATGTGGCAAGTCTAACCAGTATGGGGGCTTCACTAAAGTTAACGTTTTTCTATCGTGGATTCGGCAGTTCATTTGAAAACGTTACAAATGCTTTAATCTTGCTTTAATTGTACTCATAAGAAGGGTAATCAAGTAGGTCATCAATGTCATTATGTGTTATTTGTTTTTACAAATGGCTATTTTAGTCAGTGAATGAGAATATTCATCTGAAAATTTTACCTTCAATTTTTTATTCTACCCTTTTCTATGAAAATGTAAGTGTTTTGTATATCTTCTATACATATATGAAAATTCTGAATTTTTGCATAAATTTGATTTGGTTTGGCTTATATGTTAATATGTACAATACATATTGCTCCTTATTTTTATATTATAAATAGTTTATCCTCAGTTCTGCCTGTGATGACTAAATAAAACACTGAACAACGATTCAAATTCTAGTAGAGCATGAAATGTATTATCAGTTACCTTAAGTAAAAGAGTTAGCTTCACTTATCAAAATAAAATGTCTAGTAACTTCTCAGACTCTCTTACCCTGACTGGTCGTTCATTCATTCATCACATGATAAAAAAGTAATAATATTTAGAAACAGTTTGTTTTCCTTCCAAGGAATTAAGATATAAAGAATGTGTTTTAACTTGTTAGTTGTGTAGATAACTGCAAGTGAAGTGTTTCCAATTACTTCTGTTCTTGTGTGTTTTACTTACTTCTATGTAACTTTACCTTTTTGATGTGTAGTATTTTCAGGTAAAACTGAGTGACAAAACGGGTCCTTTAAATAACTGATATTCATCAAAATATCTACTGCAAAGTAATTCTATATTCCAGCCTAACTGAATTCATCAGAACGAAATAAAGAGACTGAACGTAGACTATACAATCTTTATTTGAAAGAAACACAGTGAAAATATATACTTTATGTGTCACAATGTATAGTCACCTCTGATAGAAGTTTAGCTCTAAACGTGCTCTTAATTGGATCGTAAGTCGTCTGGTGATATCCTGTTCTAGACTTAGTATATCTCACATTATTAACTAGCACTGTCGAAGTTCTCATTCTGAATAAAATACAAGAGAGATCATTATGTCAAAAGATTGCATAACAATCAGTAGAAAATATAACTGTCTATCTTCACATACTACTAGTGATTGTGTAGTTATCTTTCCCACAAAAAATAAACGCAGGTGCTACTCTAGATGAATAACACCAAACAGTAAGTAGCTATTGCAAAATGAACTTAACGACCTTCTTGATCAACACAACAAACTTCGAATAACTACATGAATGACAAGTTTTAAAAATACATGGTATGTTTATATTATACCACACTTCTCCTTCCCTTTTTCTAAAGGCTTGTCCTCAAGCTCATATTGATTTTAACTTTAAATAAAAAAAACTTACAAACATGTGTTGGACAAGGAATGCTACAACGTTTTGTTTCCTGTATAAAAAATATTTACAGACAACACATCCCTTTAACAAAGAAATCAATGCATAATAAAAAAAACTGAATTAGTTATACAAGATTACCCTTCAGAAATGAAACCAACTAAGTCAAAGAAATAAGTTCATAATCACAATATAAACACTTTAACAAAGAATAATGACTAAAATTCAATAGTTATACATGAAAACATCCTTCGACAGTAATGGACATACAATACATAGATGATCCTCTTAACACTCATATACAAGTACAAAAATTAATTAATATCTTTGGTAACACACTCTCACAAAGAATACAGTAGTCAAAATATATACATAAAAAAGTATTTGAATTAAAAAGAAATAAGTCTTATAATGTCTCGTGAAATGACACTCTTAACATACACCAAAATATTGACTATAATTCTGCATAACACAACATTAAATTTTATTACATAACACTATCACTACATGAACCCTACAATAGTGATTATCATAAAGCATAAAATATGATCATGAGATAAAAGAAAGAAAAATCACCCTTGAAAACTGACACTTTGACAGAATAAAAATCAAAGGTTACAAAACAACCTGTTACATATATGTGGCAATATTGAGTAATAATACCTGGGTTCCAGAAGAAAAACAAAACAAAGGTTCTATCTAAGATATCTACAATGCACACATATCTATACAAAACTTTATTTAAAGGATGGTTATAAAGAATGTCATATCTCACAAATGGTATGTCATAGGAATAGAAAATTGCACAGGGATTTTAAAGATATCATGTGGATATTGTGACATATTGATATCAAGGCGTCACTATGGCCTAATGTTTGATCAAAGACAGCAACTGTTCAAAATGTGCTCCTCAATTCCAAATGGTAAAAAACCTCTTTCGAGGATACCCCATCACAGACCTAAATTTATACTATCCCCCAGTGGGACCACTATATTTCAAGACCGAAAAGACCTTTCCTGAGTTGAGATCTTCCCGAGGGAAGAACAATACCGGTCTCTCTCTCTCTCTCTCTGTTGTAACCAAGAGCTCAGTAACTGACAGCGACTGATACACCATCAGCTTAGGTCTGTCTCACAAGTAAACATGAGTGCTTCACGATAACAGAGTCTGGACGACAAGCAGCAAAGAAACACCAAGGTTTACCTCGGGGATAGCTGAGGTTAGAGCTCTCCATCATCTCAGGTACAACCAGAACTAGAAAGTATTGAGGTGTATGAAAGGCATTGCCTAGAGCAAACCGACAAATGGAGTGAGACCTGAACCTTGTACAACTAAAGAAGGCCTGATGTGGACACTTCCTGAGTCCCCATCTCGATTAGGAGAAAACGAAACATCTATTTGGCGTAGGCCTAGACTCAAAAGAAACAGTGACTTGGTCACAGGGTGAACTATGATGAAAAATGTTATGAAAAATATAAATGCTAAAGCCTTTGGAATATTTTCATGAAAAATGTTTTTTTAATTCGCAAATAAGGGGTTTAGAGTGTATTTTATGGCAAAAACCCTAAATTATCTAACGGTTTAAAGTCATCACAAAAATACTAAGGTTTTAACTTCAGGAGATTAATGAAAACTTATCTTTCCCAAGAACCTAAATAAGTCTTTTCTTTTCTAAAACTTTAGTGATGAAAAAAAGAAGTAAAATACATTGAACTTCAAGATAGGGGAATTTGATCTTTTTTTTTTTGTAAAATCCATAACGAGGTTTAACTGTATTTCTAAAGTACAATGAAATTGTTGATGGTTAAAACTTGACAAAAACATCATTAATTCTTGAGGATTTTGACGAAAAATATTATTTTTTGAAAACGTCATATCTGGTGCTTGTTTCATGAAGAAGAAAATTAAAACGAATGATGAGCAAAATTTCGACAGAATACAAAGGAGATTTTCATGAAAATGCTAAATCGATACCAGGTACTCCATCTATGATATAATTCCAATTAATGTCCCTCAAGGCAAGATTAAAATTCTTCAGTGTGTCAGTATTAATAGGTTATTTGTACAATTATAAAATTTGGTGGAATTAATAACGGAAAGAGAACAACTGGAAAGGTGGAAAGAACATTTTAATGAAGTCCTGAACCAATGTGAACCTGACATTTTGTTAGACTTATCTAATGAAAATGTCAGAGCAATTTTGAACGTAAACCTAAATGACA